CAACACTGGTGTGAGGTCATCATCGGTAGTAGCCGGAATATTGTATTTGAAATTATGGTCGTTTGAGAAAGTTTTCGCATACGCTTTGAAACATTTAAAATGTAAAGTGTACAGTCATAGGCATAATTATTATGATCGGGTTGGCTAAGGTATAAATACCAGCTCACCACTATTTTTGCCACCAAACACCACCCCATCTCACCCACACCCCAAAGAAATGTTGAGGCTTTGGTGCTCCACAGAGATGGCCTGTCAGAAACAGTGACGTAAATGACATACATTTCCGATGTATAATACATACGTCAGAAACGTCGGAAACCTACCCAAATTCATTAGGTTTTCGACAAAATAACTATTTCCATTAATCAATTTGGAAATTATGCATGCTTTACTCAAATCTATATAAAATTTCAAAATTTTCTTCTCGAAAAAATTTTAAAATTGTTATCAGTTCTAGTAAGGAATAGTCAGATATATGTAAAAATAATATATATTCTTGAAAATAATTGTGTATGCTGATAATATTGATATAAATGACGTTTACTACGTTTATTACATTTTATACAGGTATATGACGTTTTCGACGTTTACACCTTTTTGACAGTCGAAAACCTAAAAATTCGTCACACGGACCATGACTGGTGCTCCATTAACATGATATCGTACGAAAATGTATATGGGAGCTATATCAAAATCTGAACCGATTTTCATGAAACTTAACACACATCTCTCTAAAATTTAATTAGTACGCTATGCAAAATTTCGTGCAAATGGAAAGATATATACGGACTTTGGTACACCATTTACATTAAATCGGAAATCGGAAAATATATGTGGGAGCTATATCTAAATCTGAACAGATTTTCACGAAACTTTGCACACATCATTCTAAATTCAATTCAGTACTTTGTACCAAATTTCGTGCAATTCGAAAGAAATTTGGGCACGTTGGTGCTCAATTAACATAAAATCGGACGAACATATATAATAGAGCTTTATCTAAATCTGAACCGATTTTCGAAACTTAGCACACACCATTCCAAACGTAATTCAGTACGCTATGCCAAATTTCGTGGAAATCGAAAGAAATTTAGGGTCTTTGGTGCTCCAATAGCATAAAATCGCAAGAAAATATATATCGGAGCTATATCTAAGTCTGAACCGACTTTCACGAAACTTAACATACATCATTCTAGACTCAATTCAGTACGCTATGCGAAATTTCGTGCAAATTGAAAGAAATTTAGGGCTTTGGTGCTTAATTAACATAAAATCGGACGAAAATATATTTAGGAGCTATATCTAAATCTGAATCGATTTTCACGAAACATAACACACATCATTCTATATTTAATTCAGTACGCTATGCAAAATTTCGTGCAAATTGAAAGAAATTGAGGGCTTTGGTGCTTAATTAACATAAAATCGGACGAAAATATATCTAGGAGCTATATCTACATCCGAACCGATGTTCATGAAACAAATCGAAAGATGTATAGAGACTTTTTTCACAATTTACATAACATCGGACGAAAATATATATGGGAGCTATGTCTAAATCTGAACGGACTATTGCTTTATAAGAGGTCGGCAAAGTTTTCTTAACGAAACCCCAAGTGTTACCAACCTGCCATTAAGTCGCAGGCCGGCAACACTTATTCCTACTTCTCATCTTATCGTAAATAGCAGAGACAGAGGCCACACTTGACTTGAAAAGGCTATCCACCAATATACCAAATATCTTAGGATAATTGTGATCGGAATCTATATTTTATAAATCGGACCTTCTCTTAGTCTTAAATATATTTCATAGATATTCCAAACCTAAGCATTTCGGGTTCTTAGAGGGGGGTAAGAAATTTCTTTTAAGAACATATTGGCTTGGGTCAATCCGGTTCATTACATTTATTTTGATGGTCCTACGTACATTTTCACGATATCCATCTTTCAAGTTTATTTGACTTGGAAGTCAAAGGGTTCTCCATACAAAATATTCGATATAGATCAATGTATTGGCATAGCACACATCTAAAAGTATCACTGCATTTTCAGTATCACTTTATTTTCGGTAAAGATCGTAATCGTATGTTCCGCCCAAGTTTCTGTAATTTCGTAGTCAAGGTTCCCAATTCAAAAAAGAAAAATTCATCGTTTATAGTTTTCTAAATAAGCAATTTTATGAATTCTGAAGGATTGAACATCGTAACGAATGTATCGGCCTATATGGCTATTTAGCTCCCTGGTTGTAACTCTCCAATAGAGGCTCCTTTTTTATATAGCTCCAACATATATTCTTTGCATCAGGTATCCCAGGGCGACTTTATAGAAGAGCTGAAGGCAAGGGAGTCTTTATAGACGAACTAAAGGGCTAAGAGTTTGTATAAAGCAATTGAAGGCAGGGAGTCTTTATAGGCGAGATAAAGGGCAGGGAGTCTTCATAGATGAGCTAAATGGCAGGAAATCTTTGTAGACGAGCTGAAGATCAAGGATTCTTTTTTGACTAGCTGAAGGGCAGTTAGTCTTTATAGACGATCTGAAGATTGTAACCGCATTTTCGCCTAAGTTTCTGTAATTTGGTAGACAGTCGAGTTGAAGGGTTGGGAGTCTTCATAGACAAACTGAAGGCAGGGAGTCTTTATAGACAAGCTGAGGGGCAGGGAGTCTTTACAGAGGAGCTGAGAGGCAGGGAGTCTTTATAGACAAGCTAAGGGGCAGGGAGCCTTTATAGACGAGCTGAAGGAAAGGGAGTCTTTATAGAGTCTTTATAGGCGGTATAAAGGACAGATGTCATCATAGATGAGCTAAATGGCAGGAAGTCTTTGTAGACGGGCTGAAGATCAGGGATTATTTTTTGACTAGCTGAAGGCCAGTTAGTCTTTATAGACGATCTGAAGATTGTAACCGCATTTTCGCCTAAGTTTCTGTAATTTGGTAGACAGTCGAGTTGAAGGGTTGGGAGTCTTCATAGACAAACGGAAGGCAGGGAGTCTTTATAGACGAGCTGAGGGGCAGGGAGTCTTTATAGAAAAGCTAAGGGGCAGGGAGCCTTTATAGACGAGCTGAAGGAAAGGGAGTCTTTATAGGCGGTATGAAGGACAGATGTCATCATAGATGAACTGAAGGACAGGCAGCCTTTACAGACAAGTTGAAGGGCAGGCAGCCTTTACAGACAAGTTGAAGGGCAGGGAGTCTTTATAGACAAGCTGATGGTCAGGGAGTCTATATTGACGAACTGAAGGCATGGAGTCTTTATAGGCAATATAATCGGCAGATGTCATCATAGATAAGCTGAAGGGCAGGCAGTCTTTATAGACACGCTGAAGGGCAGGGAGACTTTATAGACAAACTGAAGGCAGCTCATCATAGATGAGCTGAAGGCCAGGAAGTCTTTATGGACGAGCTGAAGGACAGGCAATCTTTATAAACGAACTGAAGGGCGGCCAGTCTTTACAGACAATCTGAATGGCAGGGCGTCTTTATAGACGAATTGAAGGCAGGGAGTCTTTATAGGCGACATAAAGGGCAGGTTATTTTCATAGGTGAGCTGAAGTGCAGGAAATCTTTATAGACGGGCTGAAGATCAGGGATTCTTTTTTTACTAGCTGAAGGGCAGGTAGTCTTTATAGACAAGCTGAAAGGCAGGGAGACTGTATATACAATCTGAATTTCAGGGCGTCTTTATAAACGCATTAAAGTCAGGGAGTCTATATAGGAGTTATAAGGGGTGAGCTGAAGTGCAGGGAATCTTTATAGCCGGCTGAAGATCAGGGATTCTTTTGAGACGAGTTGAACAGCAGGGAGTTCTTATAATTTTGTAGGTTCCCAATTAAACAAAAATACTCGCCGAAAATTCATCTATAAACCATATTACAAATTTTGAAAATTATAACTTCGAATCGCATATTTTTATTAACCTATATGGCTATGTGGCCTCCTGGCTGTGAATATACGTTCCTATTTTTATATAGCCCCTACACATCAAATTGCTTGCATTAGATGTTCCAGAAAATAGTCCATCGATTTGGAATTATCTATAGATATCATAAATATATTCAAAACCTGTAGAATTGGCTTCTGCGATATTCCATTTATTTTTTTTTTCTTCCCAAATAAATGCAACAAATATGAAGTAATTATATTCCATACCACCTCCTCTTCAATTAGAACAATCACATATACATTTACATATTTTCCGTATGTATATCTCCATATATAATAAATATATAATTGTGTTATACTATAACTGAAATAATATGCATGACACGCAATCATATCGAGTCAATTAAATATGCAGGTGAATTTGAAATTGGGGAGTATATACGGACCACCATTTGTAAATACAACAGCGACAACAACCACAACACAGCCGAAGCGATACAAACCGGAAAGGACATTTAAAAAAAAACATTTTATTTTGAAATGTCCTGAAAAAGTTGGAAATCTCTTGTCATTGGTTCGAGGTGAACGAAAAATGAGAAAAATTAGGTCTTAAATTTGAAATTGATATTTGCCTAATGAAATACAACAACTCGCTCATTTCTCCTTCCCCCTCCCCTTTTTTTTTTTTGGTTCTCCTTCACCAATGCCATGAAAAATGTTTTTTCTTAAATGGTCGCGTGCTATTCCAATTTTATTGCCCAAAAATGTGATTTTTTTTCGTTTTGTGTGTGTATGGGTGTGTGGGTATGTGTTTAGAGGTTGGTCTCCATTTTTCTTCTAGAAGTTAATTTACAAAAGCAATGACATACTAACTGTCCTCCATAATGGCTCATCCCCCAAAAGGGAATAAGGGGGAAATTTCTCAGTAAAGTTGAGGGTGGAAAGAAATGTTTTACTGGTCTCCCAATTGTATTGGGAGAGGATGGAACAGATACCTTCATCAACTTATAACGATATTTATATACTTGTATGATGTATATTATGTGTATAATTTTTATTATATAAATAATATATAGACTAGATCCAAAGAATTACAAATATGCCTTAATCCCTAATTGCAGAGATCGTTTCCCCTACTACAAGTCCAATGATGATCGCTGGAAGAACTCGGTTCGACATAACCTCTCCATAAATCCACATTTTCGTAAAGGACACAAAGCTCCACAAGGAGCTGGCCACCTATGGACAATATCAAGTGGAGATTCCGCTGAGAATGTACTGGCCTGGGAGCATGTAAGTACAATTTTTAAAATGCAATACCTTTAGAAATTTTCTAACCTCAAAAATTTCCTTTTTCCTTATAGAAAAAACAACGATTGGATTTATTTTTCAAAATGGAATCAATGAACCGCGAAAGACTTGCCCAACAGCAGCTGCAACAACAACAACAATCATCTGGTAACAGCAGTACAAGGCATCAATCCCAATGCAAAAATCCCAAACACAATAGTTCGCAACAGGATCCCTCGTTATATGATGAGGCAGCTGTGGCAGCAGCCGCCATACAACAGGAAATGTTACAACAGCAGGGACACACAACCTCCGGCAAAGATATAGCACATCATCAACATGCCCATCATCATCAGCAGCGAACGATATTGCATGCCAGCACGGGCCAGCCGCAACAACATCATCATCACCCTTCTCATTCTCAAGCGTTACACGATCTGCCCTATAATGAACTTCTGTCCGAGGAAGAATTACGAAAAACAGCTGGCCAAATCCTAAATGGTATCCATCGTGAGGTGGAGGTACAATCGGTTAATCATCATCAATCGTTAATAAGCACCTATCAGGATGTTCTATTGGAAAATGGTAAGTTTCGAATAGACGGCAGGAAATTTTTATCGACGACCTAAAGGGCAGCGAGTCTTGATATGCGAGTTGAAGGGCAGGATGGATAGACAAGCTTAAGGCGTAGGGAGTATAAGGGGGTTAGGGAATATAGATAAACGAATTGATGGTTGGGGAGTCTTGATAGATGAGCTGAAGTGCAGGAAGTCTTAATAGAAGAGCCCATGGACAGGGAGTCTTTATATACGAGCTGCAGGGCAGGGAGGTTTTATATACGAGCTGCAGGGCAGGGAGTCCTTATAGACTAGCTAAGGCCAAGGGAGTCTTTATAGACGAGCTGAAGAACAGGGAGCCTTTATGGACGAGCTAAAGAGCAGGTTGTCTTTATAGACGACCTGAAAGGCAAGGAGTCTTTATAGACAATATGAAGAGCAGGGAGTCTTTATAGACTTCAGCTCGTCTACAAAAACTCCCTGCACAGGGATTCTTTATAGACAAGCTAAAGGGCATACCGTCTTCATAGACGAGTTGAATGGCAGGAAGTATTAATAGACATGCTACGGGGCAGGGTCTCTTTATAAAGGAGCTGAAGGTCAGGGAATCCTTACAGAAGAGCTGAAGGACACAGAGAGTCTTTATAGACAAGGTGAATGGTAGGGAGTCCTTATAGACAAGCTGAAGGCCAGGGAGTCTTTATAGAGTCTTTCAAGATGTCCTGAAGTTAGTCTTTATAGACTAACTGAAGGAGAGGGATTCCTTATAGACGAGCTGAAGGACAGAGAGTCTTTATAAAGGGCAAGGAGTCTCTATATACGAACTGAAGAGCATATAGTCCTTATAGACGAGCTAAAGGGTAGGGAGTTCGTAAGACATGAGCTGAAGGTGCTGTGGAGAGCACAGCATTTATATAAACGATCCGAAATTAAAAGCGTAGATCTGAAGTTAAGGGATTCTTGATAGAAGAGCTGGAGTTCTGGGAGTTTATATAGAAGAGCTGAAGTTCAGGGAGTCTCTACAGGAGAGTCAAAGGATAGGTCGTCTTTATGGGATAGCTGAAGGAGAAAGAGTTTTTATAGACGAGCTGAAGGTCGGGAAGTCTTATAGACTAGCTGGAGAGCAGAGCACATATATAAACGATCGGAAATTAAAGGCGTAGATCTGAAGATAAGGGAGTATTGATAGAAGAGTTGGAGTTCTGGGAGTTTTTATAGAAGAGCTGAAGTTCAGGAAGTCTTTAAAGGAGGGTCAAAGGGTAGGTCGTCTTTATAGGATAGCTGAAGGAGCTGAAAGTCGGGAAGTTTTTATAGACTAGGTGGAGAGTAGGGGGTCGTAGGGAGTCTTTCTATAAGATCTGAAGGGCAGCGAGTCCGTATAGATTTACTAAAGAGCAAGTAGTCTTTATAGACCAGCTACGAGGTCAGATAGTCTTTAAACAGCCGAAGAGCAGGGAGTCTTCGTTGATGATCTGAAGGACAGGGTGTTCTTATAAACGAGTCGTCTTTATAGATAAACTGAAGGGCAGGACATTATTATAGACAAGCTGAAGTGCAGGGAGTCTTTATAGACTAGCTGAAGGGTAGGCGGCAGTCTATGTAGTCGAACTGAAGGACCTGTAGTTTTTAAAGACGAGCTGGTAGGGAGCCTTCATCGACAAGCTAAAGTCAGCGAATCTTTTCATACTAGCTGAGGGGCGGGTAGTCTGTATAGACGAGCGGAAGTGCAACGAGTCTTTATAGAAGAGCTGAATAACTGAGTCCTTATAGACAAGGGTCGTCAATGCCACCACTTTTTGAATTTTAAATGCAAAAGCTTGGTATTGGATGTATTGATATTCAAAGTATTCGTTTTGAATTTCAAATGCTACTTTTTGGTATTAAAAATATTCGTTTTGAATTTCAAATGCCAATGTATTCAAAGTATTCGTTTTGATTTTCAAATACCAATGATTGATATTCAAAGTATTAGCCTTGAATTTCAAATACAGCTTTTTTGTATTTGAAGTCATCGTTTTGAATTTTAAATACCAATGTATTATTGTATTCGAAGTATTCGTTTTGGATTTCAAGTGTAAGTGCTTGGGATCAAATAAAATGTTTTGTATTCAAAATATTCGTTTTGAATTTCAAATGCCAATGTTTGATTTTCAAAGTATTCGTTTTGAATTTCAAATGCCAATGCTTGATATTCAAAGTATTCGTTATGAATTTCAAATATCACATTTTGGTTTCGAAGTATTCGTTTTGAATTTCAAATGTCAATCTTTGGTATTCAAAGTATTCGTTTTGAATTTAAAATACCAATGTTTGGTATTCGTTTTGAATTTGAAACGCCAATATTTGATATTCAAAATATTTGTTTTGAATTTCAAATGCCAATGCTTTGTATTCAAAGTATACGTTTTGAATTTCAAACTCTCATATACATGAACATTGAATTGTCTTATATCTCCCCTATAGTATTCTAGGGTCAGAATACAGACCTCTTAAGAGATTTATTTCTTTATTTCTTTTCCTTAAACTAATTCGAATTTAATTTATTTTTCTCTCCCTCGCAGATTATCTCAATCCAATACATAAAGATGTTGCCGTCAATGAAAGTGGTCTACATCAAGTGAATACAACAATGCCCACAAGCCTTAATCACAATTCCAGTCATTCGACAGCAACAACAACGACACCGTATTATGTTACCGAAATCGATCCAATGGAGCTGGGCATTCAAATGTCAGCACATCCAAATCCATTGGTACACAGTCAGGCCCACAATAATAATCAGCATCATCATAACCACACTCACCACCAACAACTTCATCATCATCACCATAATTCTCATCACCCGCATGGCGATCCGAATTCTTCGTTAAGTGCGGAAGATACCGATGTGATTTTATTTAACGATGAATTCAATTTAAATTATTTCACCTATAATCCCACCACCGATATTGTTGCTTGACCCAAATATTTGAGAGAAACGCTGCAGCAGCAGCAACAACAGCATCAAACGCAGCAACAACAACACCCAGGACAACAGCTGACATATCAACAACCCCTTATCACTGTCGTTATACCAACAACACGGCGGCTACTATCTGCTGCCGCTGCTGCAGCGGAACACAATTAGTTATTAGAATGTCGTGAACTTCCTAGTCAAAATAACCAAAAAAAAAACAACAAAAAGAAATTATTCGAAAAAAATTAGAAATTATTTTAGTTATTTATTAAAGTCCCAAGTATTCAATGTGCCTAGAGTATAATTCAAAATCTATAAAGCTGTATATTGTAAAGCTTCAAAACAACATAGACTATTATTATTTTTTTTTTAACCTGCACCGTTGCCTTGTTTGTAATACTATTCGAACCATTCGTTTTCGAATTATTAACTTAATTACCGATAGAAACATTGATTACAATTTCCGATTGTAGGATAGAGAAATTCCAGTGCTAGCATAATTTAAGATATGGTCGGAGGTTCCACCGACCATGACACTATTTTACTTGTGTTTTTAATATTAAGAATATTTGTATTGATTCAAAACCCCTAAAATGTAAACCAAAGACCAAAACCAAAAAAAAAACCAAAACCAAAAAATTTTATTTTAGTAATAGATTTTAATTGCACCTCAGATCTCATCCTAAGTAGTTGTAATTAAAAAAATAAAGTAATTCAAATATATTATACCGACATGTGATTCTTCTCAAAGGGAGACCAGATTCTTTAAAGACAATATAATGGAAGGGGGTCTGAAGTTCAGGAAGTCTTTATAGACAAGGTAAAAGGTAGAGCGTATCTATAGAAGATCTGAAAGGCAGGGAGTCCTTATAGACGAGCTGAAGGTCAAGGATGAAGTTCAGGGGATAGAGCGAAAAACCGAAGTTCAGGAAGTCTTTCTAAAAGTTCAGGGAGGATTTAGAGAAGATCTGAAGACCAGGAGTCTTTATATACGAACTGAAGTTCGGGGAGTCCTTTGTAGAAAAGCTGAAGGGTAAGGCGTCATTATAGACGAACTGTATCACAGGGAGTCTTTTGTAGACAAGACGAATGGCAAGGAGTTTTATAGACATGTCGAATGGCAGGGAGTCTTTATAGACTAGCTGAAGAGCAGGGAGACTTTCTTGACGGCTTCAAGGGAAGTGGGTCTTTATAGACAAGCTGAAGGGCAAGTCCTTATAAACGAGTTGATGGAAAAGGATGAAGTTCAGGAAGTAGAACGAAGAACTAAAGTTCAGGGAGTCTTTATAGAATATCTGAAGTTCAGGAGTATTTATGAACGAACTGAAGTTCAGGGAGTCTTTATAGAAAAGCTGTAGGGTAAGGCGTCATTATAGACGAGCTGTATCACAGGGAATCTTCATAGACGAGACGAATGGCAAGGCGTCTTTATAGACTAGCTGAAGGGCAGGGAGACTTTCTTGACGGCCTCAAAGGGGAGAGGGTCATTATAGACAAGCTGAAGGACAAGTCCTTATACACCAGCTGAAGGGAAGGATTAAGTTCAGGCAGTAAGGCTAAGAGCTGAAGTTTAGGGGGACTTTCTAAAGTTCAGGTAGTATTTATAGAAGATATGAAGTTCAAGAGCCTTTGTATACGAACTGAAGTTTAGGGCGTCTTTATAAATTAGCTGAAGGGCAGTGAGACTTTCTAGACGGCCTCAAGGGAAGAGGGGTTTTATAGACAAGCTGAAGGGTAGGTCCTTTTAGACGAGCTGATGAGAATAGATGAAGTTCAGGCAGTAGAGCGATGAACTGAAATTCATGGAGTCTTTCTATAAAATCTAGATATCAGGCAGTCTTTATAAAAGATCTGAAATTCAGGAGTATTTATGAACGAACTGAAGTTCTGGGGGCCTTTATAGAAAAACTGGAGGTTAAGGCTTCTTTATAGAGGTACTGAAGGAAACGTAGTCTTTCTAAATGATCTTAAGTTCAGGTAGTCTTTATAGAAGATCTGAAGTTGAAGAGCCTTTGTATACGAACTGAATTTCAGGGCGGTTGAAGGGCAGTGAGGCTTTCTATACGAACTGAAGTTCAGGGCGTCTTTATAGATTAGCTGAAGGGCAGCGAGACTTTCTAGACGACCTTAAAGGGGAGAAGGTCTTTATAGACGGGCTGAAGGGCAAAGAGTATGTAACCTTCCGATATTTCACCCCCAAAATTCTTTACGTATGAAGGTGAATGTATGATCATGATGTAGGGTCCTATCTTTAATGAAATATGTTAACGGTCGATTTGTCTGAGCCGGATGGCAGGGAGTCTTTTAAGACGAGATGAAGGAAACCGTTATTGACGAGCTGAAGCTCAGAGATTCTTTCTATACGAGCTATAGGGCAGGAAGGGGTCTTTCTAGACGAGCTGGCGGGCTCTTCTATAAAGAACTCCTGCGTTATAAAAGAGCTGAACGGCGTAGTCTGTTTAGACGAACTGAAGTACTGAATGTCTTTCTAGAGCAGAATCTTTAGGACTTGAAGGGCAAGGAATTTTTCTAGAGGAGCTGAAAGGCAGATCGTCTTTATAGACGACCTGAACGGCAGGAAATCTTCTTTATATATGCACTGAAGAGCAGAGATATAAATCTTCAAATTTCCGAGAATCTGTCGCAGTCTTTAGAGACGAGCAGATGGTAGATGAAGTCTTCATGGGCGATTTGAAGTGCTGGGAATCTTTATAAACATTGTTTCAGGGTTTCCAGGTTCTAGACGACTTAATTTTATGGATTCCAAAAGTTGTTTTTGGACATCCAATTCACTTTTAACTATTTCCAATGATGTTGCGCTCGTCACATTGTTTGTTGATTTCTTCGTCATGTTCATTTTGATTTAAATCGATTCACATTTAGATAAAGGTTTACATATTTTAGTTCATCCAATTTCATGTTAATGACCCTTCTGTTAAGATGCATCTTTTTAATATACCCATAGTGGTGAAGTGGTTGGAATCTTTATAAACGAGCTGAAAGGCAGGGGTCTTTCTAGACGAGGAAATCTTTAAAGACGTTTATGTATGTTTTTATTAATTGATAGTAACAATAAAATTTTTATTAAAAAATTTATAAAAATTACAATCGGACTGAAAAAAGTACACATTTTATTGAAAGCCAGTACAATTTGAATAATTTTGTTTTGCATCCCTGGTACTAAACTTTTTTCCATCGGTGGTCCCATCGAATTGAGCTCATTTTCCATTTTTTCTAAAACCGAGTAAGAGACTCTTTGCACCCTTTATAGAATCCACGTGCAATATCAGGATGTAATTCCATTACTGACACTAAATGCTGCAATTGGGTTTATTTGTCTTCGTCCTACAAAGAATTAATTTATTTCTATTTCGATTTATATTTGAAAAACCATACTTACATTTATATCTCTCTTCGATTTTTGTGAGATATTTTTAGAGGAAAAATCGAACTTTCTTATGATGCCTACCTTTTCTCCCTTTGAATCCTATTTTACACTATTGCATAAAAATAGTATTAAAATATGAGATGTTAAAAAAGGGAATTCCGCGCCGATTTTTTTTCCGCACTGAATTATTTTTGACGATTGGACTGTATATCAAGCCTCAGAACGCCGTACTCTACTTAACCATAGAAAGGATTTCAAAGAGTTCGCCAATAATATTTTCAATCGTTTCCATTAATTTTGATGTACGGGCTGCAGAAAAAAATTCCGGGACATCATTGCAGCTCTTACATTAATTCTTGCCAAATATGAAATTTCTCAGAAGATGCAGTTAGACTAGCACTGTTCAGATCACAGGGACAGGAAACTCACGTTAAAGTTTAGTGGGATATATGGTTAATATGTTGCAACATTAGAAACGATCTCGAACCCTGCAATGAATGATGCTAGGACCACCTCAGTCTCATTTAACGACGAAATCGAGCATACCGGGTGATACATAAGGTCTTTAAACCAGTACGAAAGCAAATAGTGCTCTCTGAAATGCGTTTCAAATTCGAGGACTCTTGCAGCCGTCTGATACTGACACAACAAATCGGCAATATCTTCAAAAGTTTTTGACGATGTCCCCTTAAACGGCTGTCGAGAGGTAATAAAAAAAAGAGTCTGCCAATAGTCCTCCTCCTCAAGATTCAAACCGAAAATTGTTTGAAAAAAAAAAAACACAACCACATTTGATTTAAAGTCTCGGTACCAATATATGTTTCGTTATATTTAAAATTTAAAATATTACATACTTTAAACAATATTTTGTTTTTGTTGTTGTTTTTTTTTTTAATAAAAGAAAATTAGAATCAAATGAAATAAAAATATTGCTAATATATTTCTTAGTTTTTTGTTTCTGTTCTGACATTCCAACATTTTAATTAAACAGTTTGTGTTTGAACTATACAATATAAATATGAACAATAAATGTTGGGATACAAAGAATAAAATCTCTTAGCTTTTTTAACCAGTCCATTATTAAGGATGGATTGAAACCAAAAAAAAAAACTTGTTTTAAAATGTAAGTATGTCACAACAGTGGGGTTTGATTCACTTATCATTATCTATTTTTTTGCTTTTAATTCTATTGAATATGACGTCATTATTTTTTATAATATTTTTTAGTTTTTTTTTTTCTTCTTTGTTGTGTAAAGCAATACATAGTGTGTTTTTGTTCTAGTACGAAAAAGGGAGTAGGGCAGATAAAGACAATGGAAGTGGTAATAAAGGGAATAAAAAGATTATAACAAAAGAATATTGAGTTAAATAATAAATGGTATCCTCTGCACTTGAAAAAAAAATTCTTATTTCAACAATCCTTACTAAAATTCATATTATAATGAATATTTTTTTACTTATTTTTAAATATGTTTTTTTTTTTGTGTTAATTTTTTTGTCCAATCAGAAAAGGGTTTTCTGAAAATGCACATACGTTGTCGTCGTAGTCTTAACTAAAAAGTGTGTGTGTGTGTCTGTGTCAGTGCTAACAGCATCACCACCATTATGGTCGTCGTCTTCGTCATCCTTATCAGCTGTATCAGCTGCAA